GAACTTTTGCAAGCCTTTGAGGAGGCGAAGGCACTTCAGCACCCGGAGGTCGTGGCCTCAAAGATCGAGGCAGAGTATCAAAAAGGCGAGGCGGCCCTTGCCAAGCTGACTTAAGGCGGTGCCATTACAATTCCATTAATCCCACTAGGGCCTTCCGGCTGTAAAAAAAAGGAGCTGTAGTCTTAGTGGTGCCACTAGTGCTTAGTGCCTCCATAACCATACCCAGTCTTTTATTCACGGCTGCTGTTCTTGCGGCAAGTGTCGCAGATGGGCTTAGCGCGGTTTTGAATTACAATTTAAATTGATTTATTTTTTCCGCAGTAGCTCTCTTTCTGGAAATGATTTTGCTGCCACCTAGCAGTGGGAAACGTTATACTAGATCTGCTATAAGCTCCTCTTAGAGGCTCATCTGCGTATAATATCTCCCCAACCCCAACTAGTGCCCCACCTGATGAGGCTAGGTGTAATAGAAGCTGCGACGCTTCGTCTAAATTAGCACATCTGTTGAACAGGATATAGAGGCGCTTGCCACCAGAGGGCATGGCAGGTCTGCACCTGCTGCGAGTTGGGAAGGGCTGGCAAATACCTGCGCCGAGACGACTGAGAAGAGTCTTAAAGAGGTTCACGGCCTTGTCGAAGATACGCAAATGGCGGCGGCATATTTGCGCGATGCAGAGATGGGCAGCGAAATGGCCAAGAGGGCAGCGCAGCTTGCACAGGCAGCACACAGCGAAGCACTATTATGGCTATTCGAGACGCGGTCTGTTATTGTAGACGAAGTCATAGATGTATACTAGAGCATTGTTTGGTGGTAAGGCGTAGCGAATCAAGACAGCTTTGCTTTCCTAAGTGGTAGGCCGTCGTGACTGATTTCTTGTTTTGGCCACCCAGCTGCAAGGACCTCGCGCTCATCCTCAGGCGCTTGTCAAGGTTTTGGGTTGGGCAGCTCTAATAGTAGCCGACGTGGAGGAAATGGAGACAAAGTTGGGGGCAATTGGCAGAAAGACGGCCGAAAAGTTGGAAGAGCTGCGCAAAGACGCTGGAGGCACGTCCGCAGAGCCATCCGGGTCCGCTGTCGTGGCCGAGTGGCAAGAGGAGGCGCGTGGAGAAGAAAGCGCGGTGAAGCGCGCTGCGGCGGCGGCGAAGAGTGCTCAAGACAGGGCCACGCGCTCTGAAGAAGAGGCCAAGCACTAAGGCTAACGCTTTGACGCCCGCAGGCAATTCCTGTGGTGAGGATTTATTCGCCGCCACTTCAATTCGTGAACTTGGTCACCGGGGGTCGCCCGATTGGTTCTAACGCTGTGTCAATCTCTCTCACTAGCATAAGGGCTTTTCAATGGGGAAGCAGCGCGCCATTGTCAATATAAATTTAATGAAGGGTATGGCGCTTCTCTACTATGGAGATGCGCGGTGTACTTGGTTAGTGAGTAAGGCTCTAACTCAAGGCTTGGAATGTGGCAAGCGCTGCAACTGGGCACACGGCGGAGGCCGAGGTGAGTGGCGCGAAAAGTGAAGCAGAAGCTGAGGCGTCGAGCGCCATTTTTGCGGCAACCAAAGCGAGGGCCGCTGCACTCATCGCAGAAGCGCAGGCGGAAGTTGAGGGGGCTGAGAAATTTCAAGCGGAGGGGGAAATCGCTTTGGAACAGGCTGCAATTTTTAACGCAAAGCTTGCTACCTCTGTCCCCCAGGGAGTGGCAGGGGACTTCGCTGAAGAAACAAAAGCAAAGGTTGCGGCGGGGAGAAAAGCTATCAAGGCCGCGGGAGAGGTTTATAATGAGCAGAAAGAAGTGGCAGCGGATGCTCATAGCGCTGCCCGAGGTATCGCAGAAGCATTGCCACTTCGCGGAGACGGGTGGCCGACTCCTCCCCCGTCGGGCGACGCCCTTGGCGAGGCTGATGCGGAAAATTTTCGCGATTTCGTGAAAAGAGCCGTCGGCAAGCCGATAGGACAGGGCGCGCGTGTGCTAAGTGCTGCTGAAGCTTTCACCGCTGCGGCGGCTGCATGGGGGGAGGCTGCTAGGCAGGCGAGAGGGACCATAGACGCACTTCAGGGTCAGGCAATAAAAGCACTTTTGGCGGAGATCGCAGCAGATGTGCGCGAGGCGAATGGGGCGGCGAGCGGTGCTGAGGGCGAGGCGCATTCCGCTGAACAGGCCACGAACAATGCGGCAGAAGCTATGAACAATGCGAGGAAGCTGTTAAACAGTGGAGGCGGAGTAGAGAAGTTGATCGAAGACCTAGGCGAGACACAGAGCAGACAATCCACCAACGCAAAGACAGCGGCCGATCAGGCTAGACTTTCCGCCGGGGAAGCAGACACCAAGGCGAAAGAAGCTGCGTCGTCCGCAGAGTCGTCCATCTTGACCGATGTGCGTAGCAGCGGTGCTGATGTGAACGCAAAAAAGGAAGAAGCCACTGAGAGAGCGCATTCTGCGAAACTCGCGGGCAAGAGCGCTGGTGCGTTGCTGGATGCTATCCTCGCGCAATTGTCATTGGCCGTCACTGACAAGCTTGCGACGGCTGCAATGGAGGTGGTGGCAACGCTGAAGACCTTAAAACCCAGCGACGACAGCGTGGAAAAAGCACCGGAGGAGGCAATGGGCAAAGCGACTGAAGAAGCGCTTAGCAAGGCGAGCACACATGCGGCGGCTGCTAAAGAAGTGGCAATCAAAGCTGCTACAGAGGCCCAGCAGGCCTTTGGCGGTTCAACTGAAGACCCAGGCGTGACAGTAGATCTAGACTCTGCTGCGCGGGAAGCCGCGACTCAATCGCGGACGACGCTTGGCCATCAGGGTGAGGCTGAGAACGCACTCCAGAGCCTGCTCGAAGTGTTGGCGAAGGTCGCAGCCGCTGTGAACGAAGAAGCAGAAAAGGAGCTATCTAAGACACAAGCGGGAGAACCCCCGGCAGAGACGGTGGGGGAAGGAGGTGCTACGGCTGTTGCCCATGCACGCACGAAAGCACAGAACGAGCTCGAACAGGCTGCGAAGGCGCTGCAAGACGGTCTACGCAGGCAGACACCGGAAGTCGCTGCGGTTCTGGCAAGCGAGGGAGGCCATCCACCAGAGCCAGGCTTTGACGTGCGCAGGGCGCAGGGTCTCTTGGATGCCTGTGAGACCGCTGGAGAAGGCGCGGCGAGGGTGCTTTTTCACTCTAGGAAAGCCATAGCGCGACTGGCTGGCGCCCGTCTGCGTGCCGCACTGAACGAAATGGAAGCGCACGCGCGCAACGTCGAAAGCCAGAGCGAGCAAGCTCAGAAGTTTGTCGAAACGGTCACTGACATCGCTGCAGCGCCTTCTGCCATAGGCCTAGACGCTAAGACCGTGGAAACGAAAGCACAGGCGGCCTCCATCCAAAGCGAATGGAAAAACGCAGCTGGCAAGGCGTGTGAAGTCTTTCGGCAGTTGTTGCCCACCTTGGAGCAGAGCGGCACAGACCAGGCGCCCGCCGGTCCCACAGAGACTTCCGCAGAGGTGTTGGCTGTCCGTGTTTGCGTGGGGATCGACGCATTCTCCTTGCCATCAGATAACAGTGCGAAAGTTGATGCAGTCGAGCGGCGTTCTGCGTCAGTGCAGATTTCGAGTATTAGCAAGAGCCTTCAAAGGGCTGCATCTGACGCAGGCGGGAGTTCGTTGGCGATTGCTAAACTCGCTGAAACATTTGACAAAACCTTCGAGGGTGTCTGGCGTGCCACACTGCAGGCGGCCCAGGATGGGTGCTCCGCTGCTGTTCAAGGGGCCAAGGAGGCTGCAAAGGCAGTCGGGGACAGCGCTGTGGCTGCAGAGGCGGCCGTGAAAGCGGTCGAAGCTTCCGAGCCTGGTAGTGCCGCGCCAGGGGAAGGCGGTGGCGAAGACCCCTCGCGGCAGCAGTTTATCGAACAGGCGAGCGGGTTTGCGGTTGCTGCACGGGCGGCCGCGACCGCTGCAGCAGTTTCCGTCGGAGTGGCCCAGGGTGGCTGCGAAAAGGTGCGTTCTGGAGCCAGCAAGCCAGAAGACGTGGCTTCTGGAGTAAAGGCTGCAAGGAAAGCAGCGGCGGAAGCTGAGTCGCAAAGGCAGATCGCGGCGGACAAAGCGGCGCGTGTCGAGGTAGCTGTCGGTCTCATAGGCCTTTGTGACGGACAGTTATTACCTGCTGAGAAAGCCTATAAAGAGGCGAGCGAAGCGCTGGAGGAGGCCAGGAAGCTGAATGGAGACGCCCAAGCGATAGAAGAGCTTGACGAGCAGGTCAGGGCTGCGGAGAGGACCGTCGATCAGATCAAGCGCACGATAGAAACGGCGTCACAGGAATTGGGCTCGCCTGATGCTGTGTCCTCCAGTTCAACGGCAGCAGGCTTGGACGATATGCTCCGAAAGGCGGTCACAGAAGTCGCGAAGCTGGCAGCAAATATCTCGAAGGCCAGTAAACAAACTGCACAATCTCTCGAGAAAGCAAGGGAGACGGCGAAAAACAAGGCCCTTGGGGAGGCGACGGACGCAAAAAACAAAGCGCAGTCCCTTTCGGAGTCGATCAAAGCGGAGGTCGCAGCTTCTGATGGTGTGCTGCGAAGCATGGAAGGACTGCTCTTTGGCTTCGACGAAAATTCACACTCCAGTTTGCTCGACAAAATTCAAGCTCTACGCAAATTAGCCTCTGAGGCGGATGCGATAGCAAAAGAGCCCGACGCGCGGCTAGATATGGCGTCGCCTGTGGACGCAGACACCGTCGCAGAAGCAAAGGAAGCGGCACAGAAGGCAACAGCAGAGCTCGCGCGAGTCCAAGCTTTGAAAGAAGAGATCGAGAAAAAGCGGGGAGCCATGCTCGCAAAAAAGGTCGAGGCCATGGCGGAAGTGGCTGCTCTACTGCAACAGGCATCGCAAAAGGCAACAAAGGAGATGGGAGAGGCGGGCGCGGCCGTCCCACCACCTCATGACACGGCGGTCGCGCCCCTATTGAAGAATGCGGAGGACTGGCAAAAAGAGGCGGCCGCGAAGGCAAAAGCCGCTTCGCAGAAGGTGACCGAAATGCCAAAAAGTGAGTCAGTGTCACTGACGCAACAAGAAGATATTGCGGCGGTTCAAGGAGTGGCTGATGCTGCTGAAAAGAATCTACTCCAAGTGGCAGACTTGAGCCAGCAGGCGCGAGCGTTTGCTGCTCTTGCGCGAATCAATATTGCAGCTGAAAAAATAGCCGAGAAGGCGGATCAGGCTGTGAAGCAGCTAGATGAAGACCCAGCAGGCTTTTAAGGCTCAGGCGAATTCATTTCTACAGGTGTATTTTCCGCAGATACGCTCTTTTCTCTGTTTTTTTCCTAGGAATGAATCTGAGAAGATTATTATAGCTTGCTGTAAGAAATGAACGCGGTTGATCGAGCTCTAACGAGACAATAGAGCACTTGCGAAGAAGTTTCCTTTGCTCACCACGGCTAGTTCGTCTCCTGATCCGCTGAAGGGATTGCGAGACGCGCGAGAGAAGATCATGGAACATAAAGAAGATACATTGGGAGGCGTGGAGAGCCTCAATGTCGAGGAGCAGGATTGGCTTCGCCCTCCGACTGATACTGCCCCTTCAGACAGCCAGAAAATCGTTGTAGACGCACGAGTGAAGAAATGGCACACGCAGGAAGAGACTATCACTGAGTGGGAGAAGCAGGCGGAGCATGAATACGAAGAGGCGAAGCAGTCCAAGATGCAAGAATTGGTTGAAGCATTCGACAGCGCGTTGTTGGGTGCTGGGGCGAAAGAGAACGCGGAAAAGGGCATACAGGCCCAAATAGTCCGGCGTCATGGCGACGCGACAAAGCAGGTAGAACTTGCAGACCGAGCTGTCAAACACGCGAAGGAGGCTCTGAATGAGGCTGAGGGAGCCAGGGCTGCCGCAATCGCAGCAGGGGTTCAAGCAGTCGAGGCGGCACCACATGACAGCAACCAAATAGGCGAAGGAGTAGAAAGTCATGCTGGCTTTGGAGAGCGGGAGGGACTGGCGACAGCTCTTGCGAAGGCAAACGGTGCACTCACTGAAGCACAGGCAAAACTGGAGGAGCTTCGGACCTCCCCGCAGGGGCATCTGCTGAGTGCATCGCCCAAGCCTGGACAACGGCTTGGGGCGATTACGCTAGAGCAGGCAACGCAGGACGCGGAGAAAGTCGATGAGGCTTGCAAGCTGATACAAGAGAAAGCGACGCAAACGCAAACTGAGGCCAAGCTTGTCGAGATATACTCGAAGCTCATGGGCGCGGACGCGGCCGCTTTTGTGGCACACAAGGTGGTCGATGCTGCGCAGACGGAGGTGGATAAAAAGCGTGAACTCGTCGACTCAAAAAGCAAGCGGAAGCACGAAACGACGGTGATTTCAGATGCACAAGGCACTCTTCGCGCGCGAATCGCGGCTGCCCGGCAGCGCATCAAGGGGGCTGAAGCTACTGTCAGCGAACGTCAAAAGGAAGTCGACAAGCAAAGTCAGAGCGAGCTCGGGAATCTACCACGCACTGCGTCTGGTATGACGTCTGGCAGCGCCGTTGGCGGGGAGGAAGGAGGAAGCGGCGCTGTCATGCAGAGACTTGAAGACAAGCTGTCCACACTCCGGGCGCTTCTAGGCACAGTCACTGGCGAGGTGAATAGCCTCACGCAGTCCCTGGAAGAAGCTTGGGCCCCAATCGCACGGGAGGAGGTGAAGAAGGAGATTGACATCGCGCAGATCGCGGGCCTTACGGCTTTGTCTGATGCAGCCAAAAAGGCAGCCACCGCACACCAGACTGGCGCAGAGACCGCGCGCGGGAAGACGCGAGCAGCTGCGGAGGCTGCTGCGGATCTCCTTGGCAGAGCGAAAGCAACTGCGACAGAGCAGCTAGACGACAATATGCAGACGAAAAATGGGGAAGCAGGTGACTTGCATAAGAGAATATGGGAGTCGCGTAAAGGTGACATTGAAGAGAGAATGCGTAGCGCCATCGGTTCAATCGAATCTCACAATGCTGAGCTGAAAAGACTTCTGGGAAGATTCGATAGTGCTACTAGTGCGACTGCTGACGCAGCAGCTGGAGTACAGAACGACAATCCACGAGTGGTAGTGGGCCTTGGTTCGCCTGCAGAGGATGTTGAACGCGCTTTGCAGACAGCAAAAGCAAACGCAGAAGCAGCCGAAGCGAAGGAAGGAGAGGCTGAGAAAACCCAGGAGAGGGACGTGGCGACACAGAAGGAAGCGGAGAGGCTTTTGGGCGAGGCGCAAAAGGCCAAGGGGGAGATGGACGATGCGATCGTGGAGTTGGGTCCTCTCCGTATAGAAGCGGAAAGTGCGCAAAAAGAACTAGAGAGTGCGAACAGCGACGTGGCAAACGCTGAAAAGGCGCTTAACGATCCGATTTTTCATAAAGAAGTGGGCGATCAAGCAACTCTCAAAAATGCCGCCAATCTTTTCAACGGGTTAAGGCTTTTAGTTTTCCTTGGGATCAAGTAAATCGGGATTTCGTATAATGGAGAATAGGTAAAGGTATAGGTAATATGAATATACTTAATAAATAAGGTCTAGTAGTCATTTGATTTTGAACAACGGGAGCAACCAACGTACTACTGGCAGGAGATATCAGGGGAAGTTACCTTTTGAATTGTACAATTTGATTTTGAAGTATTTAGTCTAAGCGGAGTCATAATCGTATCTTGTTGAGCTCGTTCTTAAATTAAGTAATTGCCCTACTCTCTCTACTTCTGGTCTTATTTCATTTGGAAAATCTCGTCCAGCTCAATTCTTTGTCACCTCAGATCGCTACAGATGCACTCGCGCGTGGGTTCTTCTCCTTCTCATGGCTGCTAGATTATAGCTGTTTACAATGCCATGACGGAGCCGACGAGTGTCATAAAACATTACCGCTAAGAGCGAAAGCCAAAGCCGCTGCAACCAAAGCAGCAAAAGATGTAGAAGAAGCAAAAAAAGCGCTGAAACAGGCCCAAGAGGCGAAGAGCCTGGATACGGTGAAGGAGCATAGCAACGCTGCGCGCGGCCGTGCGCACCGTGTGGTGTTGGCTAAGTTCTATCTGAAGGCTGCTATTTTAAGGCGGCTAAAAGACCTTGACATAGTTCAAAGTTTGCTTCGAATCAATTTATTTTAGTACCTCGAGTTGATCAGTTATTCTACTTGATAGAAATAAGTTGTTCTTGTTGATGATGATGCTCTTGTTCACTCGCCGTTGAAGTGCTTGTCATAAACTCCTGTAGCTTACATTCTGATTAGCTTTTCTTTTTTCTAGTTGTCAGAGAGACAGGTCTCAAAAGGGACCTACGGCGTACCAGTCATATATCTCTGTCTTTACAACGAGTGAGGATATGAGTTGCAACAGTAGAACAGGCTGCGTTCATTTTATGTGGATATACAACGAAGAATATCCTAGTAGGTAAAAGAGACTGAGAGACTTTAACTTGGAAGGATAGGCTTCTCTAAGTATGCCCTGTGTAGAAGCAAAAGTGAAGCACAATGCTGTTGGCGATCTGATCGACAAGGCAGGTAGATTGGTGGGAGTACTCCGGACAAAGTTGCCGAGGGCGATCCCCAAATTTTTAAGGCGGTGCTTTTAAAAAGCAATAACAATTCCCAGGTGGTGCAAAGAGTCACTGTTTCTTACCTGCTTATGCAGGAACCTGGAGCTGGACAAGATAGTGATGTGTGCGTAGAAGTAGTACTTGCGTCATTTCAAATAGCAGTGGAATAATCATACAAGATTATAGTAGAAAATAGAAGGAATCATCATAAGTAGCAGATCACGCAAGGGGGCAGAGAATATTGGTCGCTTGATTTTCGATTTATGACGGTATACAGCGAGTATATATATATTTATATGTAATATTCTTGTCTTGGTCTTGTCTGTTTGCTTTTGCTCAATTGCTACAGCTAGCAGGATTAAGACAATATTGAGGTAGAGACACCGACGTTGGTAATCTCGGAGTAAATAATGAATAGCTCTAAAGCTTCCAAAGGGTGGAGACCAAAAATTCGCGAGTCCCAGTGCTGAAAGCATGTTCACAGAGGCCGCGGAGAAAAAAGGACAAAAGTTTTTCGCAGAAGCCAAGAACCACGCTGAAACGCTGGGCGGGGCCATAACAAAGAGTATGAATAGTATCAGCTGGCTCGTTGGTGAAGGGTCGCTTGCGCCACAACTTGACTCAGACGCATACGCAGTCGAAGACACCTCACCGACTCATCTGTCGTCTGCCAAGAAACTAGCTGAAAACACCGCGAATGAGGCCGAGAGCGAATGTCAGAAGACGACAGCAGTGGAACACGACACGAAGGTTTTGGGAGTTGTCAACAAGCTTGCGGCAGATGCTGTAAGCATGTGCATCGCAGTGGCAAACGTTGAAGCAGCGGAACCGGAAATAGTTACGGCCATAAGCGTTTGAGCCAGTAACTTCGATTTTCATATTGTTCCGAGCGATCCCTCCTTGAGTCATCTAGAATCCTTGTTTTCCTCTACTCATGTAGAATCCCAGTGTGAACATTAATGTTTTTTAGCCTTATTCGGATTTCCAGATGTAAATCTGATAAGGAGACGAGCTCTCGTCATGATAAAAAAGTTACAATTCTAATTCATCTGCTAGTTCTAGTCCACTTGTTCCTCAAAGCGGTACTCTAGGAGTACTCTTCTTGCTCTCCTTCTCTAAGAGTTCACCCCTGCTCAGTCTAGGCTTAGGCGAGCCCGCGCAAGCGCGCTTGGCAGGCGCGAAACTCAAGCTTTTGCAGGCCATGGCAGAGCGCTTAGCGCAACTAGCAAACGAGGACTGGACTCATTTATGTTCTTGTTGTAGCGTGGTTATAGTTGGATTTGTTCAGCATGAAACCCTCTAGTCTTGATTAAGTTGAAGATCGTTGGGATCTTTTCAGTCTAGTCGTGAGTGCCTAGCTATCCCGAGGCGAACCAGTTCCTACTCATACTTTTTACTATCCTGAGTGACAAGAACCAACCTCCTCCTAACCTAATCTCCTGATGAAGGCGTATATGCACAAGGGCTGGACTCCTTACTAGGGTCGTTAGACTGGTGTATGACTACTAGGTGGGCATATTTAAATTGTGGCACTTTTGTATTCAACGGAAATTAAGTTCTTCTCAGAGACGGGGAAACTCTAGTAGAAGCAGTAGTAGCATTTTCCTTTTCGGTATTCTTGTCAAGGAAAATAAAGACTTCTGTTCCAAGAATGAATGGTTATATTTTTCTTGTG